ACCAGCATACGTGGGGGACAGTCGGCGCCAACGGCTGGAGCCTGGTCGAGGCGGTGGTGGTCTGCCGGCAGCTGGGCTGTGGGACGGCCGTCTCTGCCCTGGGCTTGGCTCACTTCGGGCAGGGGTCCGGCCACATCTGGCTGGATAATGTGAACTGTACGGGGACAGAAGCTGCCCTCTCTGAATGCCAGGCCAGGCCGTGGGGATCCAACAGCTGTGACCACCGGGAAGATGCTGGTGTGGTATGCTCAGGTGATCCATGTTATTTGGAATGAGTACCGTGCGGGTTGGGGTGCAGGATCAGCTCAATCGTGTCCCAGGTACTACTGACCTCAGGACCCCCATACTCACTACTGACCCCAGGACCCTCCCATAGTCACTATTGACCCCAGAACCCTTTGTCAGGCTCCAAGCCCCAAGCTCTGGAGCTGCAACCCCTCTTTATCCGCCCCAATGAGAAGCAAACCCCAAGCCAGCCCTGTCAGTGTAGCAGATGGAATCTGCATGCACGGAAGGGATGCTCTGATTTTCCCGCGGCTTAGCACGTTGCAAAGCTCAGCTGGAGCCGTGGATGACGGTCAGGCATGAACATGACCCTTTGCACCCTTCACAGAACCAGACACTTCGGGACAGCTCCCGCTGCGGCTGGCAAACGGCTCGAACAGCTGCCTGGGGAGAGTCGAGGTCTTTCACGACCAGAAGTGGGGGACCGTGTGTGACGACACCTGGGACCTCCATGACGCCGCCGCCGTGTGCAGGCAGCTGGGCTGCGGGATGGCGCTGTCAGCACCAGGCTCAGCTCATTTTGGGCCAGGTTCGGATCCCATCTGGCTGGACGGTGTTCACTGCACGGGGTCCGAGTCCACCCTCACTGAGTGTGAGCTGAGCAACTGGGGAGAGCACAACTGTGGCCACAGCGAGGATGCTGGCGTGGTGTGCTCAGGTAACACCAAGCTGCAGGGACTGGGACGGGTGAGACAGGATGGTTGGTGTCTATCCCAGGAGGGGCTTGACAGGTGCTGGAGCTGCTGTTCTACCCCAGGGCTGTGCCAGCTCTCTCCTCTCTGCTCATTCTTCCCAATCCCCAGCATCAGAGCAGAAGTCAGCTTTCACCCAGCCACTTGGCTTGGAGTTGAGCAAAAATGCCAAGCTGCCTAGACAGGAGTTGTGCACCTAACTCATTGATTTAATCTAGACTATGTCCCTTGAGCTCATCAATGATGATGCCCATCAATGATGGGCAAAGCCTTGCTCAAAAAAAAAAAAAAAAATTCAGGCACACCTTTCCTAGACACAGGAGTCAAGTGCCACGAGGGAGGTGGGTGTGGGTGTGGAGAATGGGCAAGTGTGTGGATGTGCAAAGCAGTGCGCAGACCCATGGGCAGTCGCACGCAAGTTTCTGGCCACCATCCTCTCAGGCTCTCTGTCCCCATGCTATGCATTCGAGCCAGTGATGGTGCAGCAGGCACAGGCAGCACATTGCACACATGCCTGTCCCCATGCTCGTGGGTGCCTTGCACACCCCTCTGAGGCTCTCTGCCCTTGTGGGTTCAGAGGGGCCGTCTCACCTTCTTGCGCTCTTCCTTGCAGGCACAGACCCCTTGCAGGTGCGGGTGCAGGATGGCCCCGGTCCCTGCGCGGGGCGGGTGGAGGTGCTCTACAACGCTACCTGGCATGGGGTGTGTGGCAGCAGATGGAGCTTGCTGGAAGCTGGGGTGGTCTGCAGGCAGCTGGGCTGTGGGCCAGCCCAGTCGGCACCCGTTGGAGCCCAGCTCAGGCAGGGGGACGGCCGTGCCTTGCTGGAGGGGCTGAGCTGCCGGGGGACCGAGTCATTGCTCCTGGAGTGCCAGCAGAGAGAGATGGGTCTGGGGCCGTGCAGGCAGGGCTCGGCAGCCAGCGTGGTGTGTGCAGAGCAGAAAGGTAAGCACCGGGATCCCCTGTCATCCACTCTGTCTGCATCAGGGCCAACCTGGTGCAGATACATGGTGGGGTAAAGGCTCCTATCTCCATCCCAGTCTTGGCCTCCTCCCAGGCAGGCAGAAGCGTTGCCATAAACCTTTTTGCTGGGAGCCCTCAGGTGGGCAGGGTAGAGGTATCTGAAGGCAGCAGCTGTAAGGCAGTGGAGTGGAACCAACTGGGTGAAGGCATCTCAGTGGGCATGGAGTCCCGGCAGACACACTCTGTTTGCATTAGCCCAACAGGGGTGGGGTGTCCATGCACCAACCCTCCTGAAGCAGAGCGTGAGCTGTCACTCCTGCTGATGAGGGGTCAGCCCCAGCACCCAGGAGGGCAGTGAGGGACGATGTTGCAACTCCCCAAAAACATGCAGCGGAAGGGAAGGGTGAGAGGGGCAGAGAGGAGGCTATCCAACCAACCCCCTCTGAGCTGCACTCTTCCTGCAGAACTTATACAGTCCTGCTCGGTGCTGGCAGGCCTGCTCAGCATGGGGGCAATGGTCTGTGGGACCCTGTTGGTCCTCTACCTGTGGACAAGGTGTGGAAGACGGGCTGGACGATCCCCAGGTAAGAGCAGGACCACAGCATGTGGTGCACCTGACCTGCTTGTGGAGCTGGCTGCACTCCTGGCTGGCATGGATGCACCCCAACCTGGGGCTGGGGATTGCACCCTCCATGTACCACCCTGTTCCTTCATTTTGCAGACAAGCCACTTAAAAAGGAGACAGAGGACACTGGGACATCATCAGAGGCATAGGCAGCCACGCTCCTGATGTCGAAGGCAAGGCCCCCTCAGGACCCCAGAAGACCCAGTTCTGTGGAGCCAGAAAAGTAGAGTAGTCACTGCGATGCCAGAGAGGACCCCTCTGGCAGAACCGAGACCCCCTGCCTGTGTGCCCCACAGCCCCCAGCTCACCGTGCTGAGCCTCTGTGGGTCCCAGTTCCTCCATGCAGCACCATGAAGTCCCTCACTCTCCAAGCAAGGTCTTCTCAGAACAACCCCTATCTGGTCCTCCGGGTAGGCTCCAGCATCCTAACCTCATCTGCACAGACTCCTCTTATTCCCAGCCCTATAACCACTATAATCCCTATTCCCAGCCCTGTAGTCCCCTATAATCCCTATAACCCCCTGCAGAGTCATCTGCAGTGGCACCCAGCGTCATCACCCTCACCGCATGCCCAAGAGGATCATACCTTTTCCCCTAATCTCCCATGGAAGTGAGGATTACTTCCTGATCCAGGAGCGAGCAAGCAGGGTGCTCTCTCGCACTGTACACAACCACCTTTGCAAAATGAGGAGTGCACTTAAAAGCCCATCCCGAACAGGGTGAGAAGTCCCTCACCCATTTTATTTATTCAATCCACTTTTGAATATCGGTAAAAACCCCGAAACCCAAAAGAATGAGAATGCAGCATTATACAGATTCAGGGATATGGAGTGACTTGGTGAGGTGGAAGGGGTGGAAGAACAGGCCCCTTGGTTATAGAGGGACTGTAGATGATCGGGTCAGATACAGGAGACTCAAGATTGCTAACGCTGGGTGAGATACCACCAACAAGGAAGGGTCATGTTCCTGATGGAGCAACCCATGGAGTCAGGTCTGAGCCCCAAACCATCCAACACTTTGGAGAAGCCAGGAGGGGCCATGGTCAGAGGAACGTCCCAGTGCCATGGGGAGGGACTGAAGGGACCACAAGCTTGACCACCAAGGTGACCAACACAAGGTTGTGATGAAGGTGTGCCTTGCGGGACGAGCTGATCTCTGCACAAGGGCATGGAAGGGAAGAGTTGGTGCAAGAGGCAGCAGGGAGAAGACACACCTAATGAAAGAGTCACAGCATGTATTTCAACGCCCTTCAGGTCTAGCCTCCCACCTCTCCTTCCCTCCCAGCCAGCGGCTGGCAGCTGTGACCAGTTTGCGTCTTGCTACTTGTCCTAAACCCCAGCAATAGAGCCCCCCTGGCCAGGTGTCTCCTGTCAACACATGGCCACAAGGTCATCTTCTACTCCTCCATGGACAACCATCACTCCTGGGACTTCAGGGTTTCTCATCCTCCTGCTAGTACCCAAGCCTTCTCATCTTCTCGCTGGCTGCCCCAGCAGACCTGGTCCTTCAGCCTTGCCTGTCCCAAAGTTTACATCAAAGGCCCAGGACTCCTTCTAGCTCTGGGTAGAGTGTCCTCAGAACAGGGGAAAACAGGACCTTGGACCCAGTTTTATGCAATAAAATATCTGCACTGTTTGGAGAAGGTCTTTGTAATAAAGTTGGGATGAGTTGGGGCTTTTCATGGCTCCAACATGCAGGACCAACACCTGCTAGATCCAAGCACAGGCCATGGGCTACTCTGCAGAGATGCTCTGCAGGGACTGCAGTATCTCAAGAAGGGTTTTTTTCAGACTTCCCGGGGGGACACCACACCCAAATTCAAAAGGAGCAGAAGGGACGTAGGACCATGACTCACTTCCAGAGCGGCTGTTTGTCCAAACGGTGAAAACAGCCCCAGCAGAAATATCCTTGCCCAGAGCTGCATCGGCCGCGTCAAGCTACGACAGTTCACAGCATTTCCGTGCCGATCGGTGTCGGGAATCTCTTTCCCGCTGGCCTGTTTGTTTGCAAAGAAGGGGAACAAAGTCCTGGGGCTCACTGAACCTCAGTACAAATGAATACAGTCACCTTTCCTGACTGCTCGACTTTTTATGAGATGAGTTTTGACTCGTTTCCAGCCTAATTTTCACCCGCTCATTCTTGTACCTTTGTTTAGTACACTTTTTTTTCCTTTTGGTCTTCAGCCCTAGCTCTGCATGCCTCTGGGGTTTGGATTTCTCCTGTTTGATCTTCCTACAGGCAGCAATCTACTCTCCACTCTACTACCCCTCTTAGGTTTTGCGAGGCTGAACGAGTTAAACAGCCTGAGACTTTCCTGGCCATGCTGTCCTCTTCCCATTACATACTCCAGTTTTGCTTCTGATTTTCACACAGACATGGGCAGAACCATCCACCCTGTTTCTGGCAGGGGTCACATCCTTGCCCCATGCAAGCCCCATCTTCAATGCACCATGAGCACAGCAACCACCTTCGTCTGAACCCTCCCATTCGGAGCAACGAGTGATGCTAATTTGATGACCCTTTTGCAAAAGTCATTTTTTCCAGTGGCATGCTGCTCTGGCTTCAGGCCCTTTCCTTGCACAACTTCAGCGTGGCACCACGAAGGGATGGGAGGACAGCAAACTCTTCCATCCTCTTGGCATCTCAGGACATGCTTGAGGCAGTGACTGGCAAGGGACATGCCTGGAGTGTCACCTGCATAACAGCAATTGGGAAGCAAACTGCTAATCCAAAAGGGACCCTGGGGGTCTTGCAAGTGCAGCCACAGTAGGATAAGAAAATGGCAGTTCCCCTTGTTTTCCAAATCCGACTGAGCCATTCAAAGCATCGCAAGGTGGGTGCAAGACCCCTTTCTCATGGTGTCCAGGTTCACCTGATGACAAACAGCTACAGTGCAGGTGCTGGTTCCAGCCTCCACAATAAAGCCATTTCCAGCCTTTAGTAACCTATTTTCTTGCAGTGGATGGTCCCTCACCCCCCAAAACCCAACCAGACCCTTTCTAATGAAGCTAATGTAGCTATATTTCCCCAGTTCTGTGCATAAAGGCTCGATTTAGCTTGTTGAAAGTAGATATCTTCTACCAGGATGCATCAGGGCAGCCGAGGTGCCCTCAGGGGCTGGCACGTATGAGACGGGACCCGAGGGGGTTTTGTTTGCTCCGTGTTTTCCTGGAACAGCTTGCCGTTTCGCAAGCCGATGACAAGACTGGCTGCTATTGGCGCGTGCATGGGGCAGCGGGTCACCTCCTGGCAGAGCTTCACAGGAGGTGAAGCTCCCAGGGGGGAGCAGGGTGTAGGAAGAGGAGGGCTCACCGCAGAAATCCCAGTTTGCCCTCCCAGTCGGCCAGTGGGACACCGGGCTCAGCTGGCATCTCTCACAAGGACAGTCCACTCCAGCCTCCAGCCCGTGGCCAGGCTTCGAACATGGGGATGCTGGGCTGTCTCCATCCCTCATCCAGCCGCCTGGGAGGCAGAAACCAACCCAGCTGCGGTGGGGCCAAGAGCGCGGGGACCCTCCTCCTGATGGCATGCCTTTGGGGTGAGTGGCGTTCGCCTTCGCTGCTGATCACAGGGAGCCCATTGGCTACATCTGCTCCTCTAGCCTGCTCAGCTAGCACTTCGTGGAGTACAGCAGAGGCTGGTCGGGGGTCCTGGATTTCTCTTGGGGGTCTGGGGCAGGGTGGGAATGGCTTCTGATGGCTTTGGAGGCAAGTGAAAGGGTTTTTTACATGAAGACGGGAGCTCAGCTATCTCTGCTTCACTCCAAGAGCCATGCATTGCAGGTCTACTTCTGCACACATGGTTTTGCCCCATAATCAAAGGCTTGTTCCCCATAATTAAACGGTTGTGAGCATTACAAGAGTGGAGGGAAGCATGCCCGATCCTGAAGCTGTCTCTCAGCTGGCCATGGCCTCCTGCCCTGCTTTAATCCTGGCTTATCCCGGGCGGTGCATGGCAAACTCATGGTATTGCAGCACGGAGGGGGCTTGGCCAATCGCAACAGCACTGTGCATTAAGCGGGCGGCTCCCCGTACGTCAGAGGGGTGAGCAAGTAGGGACCCACATTGCCAGGACAAGGCTGGGTTGCTCATGGCTGTGCAGCATAAGGAACTGAATATTTGTTGGGCTAACGGGGCACACAGGCAAGATGCTGGTGGGAGACATGACCCTTGTGCTCAGGCAGAGCTGTGAGGAAGCCACAGACCCTACAGGTCCCTTATCCACAACCATGGTTTGCTCTCAGACATGGGTGCAAGGATGGGGAACAGCTCTGCTGCAAGAGCAATATCATGCCAATGGTTCAACAGCAGCTTTGCTTTGGAAATGGTTAAGAAAGGGCTCAGGGCTTTGCCCAAGCTGCCCCAGCTCAGAGCAGAAGCTGGTTATTTGATTTGGGCACCCTTAGTGCTGTTTCACTTTTACAAAGGGCACGAACAGAAACGCTCACCTTTGGATCAGGTTTGGAGTGAGCAAAATTAGGAACACGCTTTCTCTGCTGGTAGGGATTTTGTTTTAATTTCCAGGATGATTAGTTGCTAAGGCCAGTTTGTACCACTGCCTCTTGGAACTAAAATTTTGCTTTAACTCGCTTGGGTTTTTCTCCTTCTTTGGTGATCTATTCACCAACAGTACAATCTTCCCACTTTTTTTTGGAAATCTTGCTCCTGGAAATTTCAGTACAGCATTTTCCTCTTCGACAGTCAGTATCTCCAGTCAGTATCTCCTGGCTGGCTGGAGTCACCTGTGCTGGGACCCGTCCATCCAAGCACAGTAAATGCACATGCGACCGGGCTGTGCTTGCAAGAAACATGCCAAGAAATCTATCAGCTGCTAAGTCTCAGCTGCGGGGCTGAATTATTGCTTATTCCAGGGTAGCCTCATTGCTCCTAGTAAAAATAAGGAAGGAGAGCAAAAGGCGCATGGGGAAAGGATGAACCAGAAGATCCAGCCAGCATCAGGACTGTGCTCTTAGCCCGGGGACAGGAGAGCTTGCAAACTGGAGACCGAATGCCTGCAATGCGTCTGGTTCATCCTCCTCGTAGAAATGAGTTTAGAAGGGTGGCTTTGCAAAGGGGCTTCATTGCAAAGACACTTTATTGCAAAGATGCTTTATTGCAAAGATGCTTTATTGCAAAGACGCTTTCCTGCTCCCCGCTGCACAGCCCGAATGAAAGAGCTGAGCTACACACGCCTGCACGCAGCGTGCCACAGCTGCCCAGATGCTGTCCGTATTTGAATGACTCAGGGATTTGATTTTTAACCTGTTTCATCCTCTTTCTGGCCCCTGTGACTTCCCAAGTGCTATGTCTGGCCCCTTGCTTGCTGATGGTCAGACCCGCACACAGATCAGTGCCTGAGCACTTTAGAAATCATTATCCGTGGTCAAAAAGCTTATTTACACAATGCAATCATATCCCTCTTGAACTTCTTTTACTGCTGACCCAGTTGAGCTCTCCACGTGACTAATGTCCAGCTACAGCTCCTTTCTGCACAGTCTCCCTTCAGTTAGTGCTCTTGCAAAAGCGTGCCTATGGGACCAGCAGCAATCTCACACTGTGGGTCTTGCACATTGCCAAGACCCTTGGTTCAAGCACTTTTCCACTCGCCCCCTGCAAGCTCGTGGCTCAGCTGGACCCCAAGGCATTACCCACTCTTGATGGTGAAGCTACATCTTTGCTGCTGGCCGCTTGTACAAAAACTTGCATAAGCTCAAATACCCATTTTTTTCTGCCTATTACATGAGCAAGAAAAGGACTCTTGGGGTGTGGGAGCCCCACTGAGGTTAAGATGGTTAAATTCAGGCATTTAGATGCAGAGATGGGGCTCAGTTGCCTACAAAGAGATGCCCAGGGCAGGTGTGGGATGGTCAGTGCCTCCTCTGAAACCCTTTTTGGGGAGCAAGAGCCATCTCAAACATGCGAGCAGCCGAGCCCCATTCACCCCCAGGATTTCAACTCCCCTCCTCTTTCACCTCCTGGCTTTGCAGGCACAGCTGCTGAGAGCCCAGGGGGGCTCCTTCGCCTGGTGGGCGGTCCCGGCCGCTGCGCCGGGCGGGTGGAGGTGCTCCACAACGGGACATGGGGGACAGTGTGCGACGACGGCTGGGGTTCCACCGAGGGTCAGGTCGTGTGCCGGCAGCTGGGCTGTGGGACGGTGCTGTCGGTGGCACC